ATTGGATAGGCAGAAAGGATAGGGTTTTAACCCTATCCACTCAGAGAGTTCAGATCTGAATGTGATTCAGATCTGGAAACCTTCTAATGAGATTAGGAGAAGGCTGATCCAATCTGCAGATAAGATAAGGGTTTACCCTTATCACTTAAAGGGATGTTTGATCCAAATATGATTTGGATCAGCAACTCCTAATGGGATTAGGAGTTGATCCCTTCAAGGTTACAAAAGAAGGAGGGGGTGGCAATCTTTAGAAGATATACTTTCACATCCTCTTCAGAGCTGAAATCATAGAAGGAAGAATTCAGCAACCCTGCGAAATTCTTTCTTGCCGCCTCCTTCCTACTGCCGCCTCACCTGCCAGTTCAACCTCCAGTTCAGTGGGAGAAATCAAGATTCGATCTTGACATCAGTTCCTTGTGAAGGGATTGATAAGAAGTTGTGTTCACGTGCCATCCTACTATTTTTTGCGAAGGATTAGGTTATTGGAGAGAACACTGCTGATTCTGTTCCATCCTACACTGCGCCATCTTCAGTGGGAGCAGTCTTTGGATCCTTCTTTGGGCGTAAACACCTTCGTTGGGAGATATTATTTCTCTGTATCATCATCTCCTACTGTTTTCGATTCATGGTTCAAGATTGATCCTTGAAAAATGTTTTTTCTAAAATAGAGAATGCGATTCCCAGTTGAAGGGAGAGAAATTTTTTTGAAATTCGCCCACCTTATTCCGCAAGATCTGGGCGTCCATACGATGGATCCCTCATTCCCTTCATAAACAGGTCTAGTGTGGAGATCAGAAACTTCTTATGGTTTAGGTAGTGAAGTTCCAGTTGGTAAAGGTCTCTGGCTGATTGTACCAGATAATCGCGGTCAAATCCCACCGGACCAGACCCAATGTCACTAGGCTAGGGCTAGGGCGTTATGGGTGGTGAGGATTTTGGCTGACGTAGACTGGGTGCAGTCCTAAGTCCTAACCTATGGTATATTTCGAGTTCGGCTTAGATCAAGGCAGAGCCCATTCATGCTGTTTTTGTTGCCTTATATTGAGAATATCTCCGTACTTATGTCCTTTATTTCATGGAGAGATATTCCCCATACAAGGTTGCAAAAAATTGTTAGAACGGTGTGGGCATACATTTGCCCAAATAGAAGTCGATCTCTGGTATTTCTTTTACAAAATAACCGATACCAGCCTTGGTAAAGAAGAGCAACTAGAAATCTAGAATCAAAATGCAAGACAACAACCCAACCTATACGAGGTGATGACCCAACCTATACGAGGTGATGACATACTATCATCGGGAGATGTTCCCAATACATGGCGGAGATGTGCTGTGAGGCGGAGATGTGATCTCAACCTATACCGGGATTATGTTATCAATGGTTGAGATCACATAACTGTTCAAGGCGAAGACCCAAATTCCCAAACTAGATTGGGACCTCTAGGTTGGGAACTACGCTAACTCATTACGAATTTAGAATCCAACAAAGCTGCAACTGTTGGAACTTGGAAGCCAGAGGCAACCTAAAACAACCAAGATTCCAACAGAATTGGATGGGGCTAGGTTGGAACCTCAGAAAACACTTCAGGTGCTGCTTTAGGTTCCATGTTGGGCATGGATCACTAGTAGTAGTCTCTCTAATAGGCTCCATGGATCGCCCACAATAGGAGAAAAAGGCACCATAACTGCACAAACAAAATCACCCTGATGGAACGAGGGCATACATAGGAATAGGATCCACCTTGTTCTCATTCACTGCTTAGAAAACCCAAAAATTACTTGACAAACATACATAGTATGATGGTAAAAAATCAAAGCACTTGGATGTTTATGAATAAACAAAACCACGTTACTTAACATCTCTTGGCATAACACAAGAAATTTTTTCATGAAACAAACTACCTAATACAATAACAAAAACGTTTTGTCCTTCCAACCACAATTGCTGCCCAGAACTCAAGAACCAAAAACGACATAAAAGAAATTAAAAATCACGAAGTAAATATTGTTGTAACCCCCATCGTCCTCGTAACATAACTTCAATCCCTCCAGTTGAAGAGGCAACAATGACGAGACACCTTATAGCTTGTCCTCGTACTCTGAGAGTGGGGTCATCTGCTCCTTCAATCCCTTTCTCTTTCTGATGTCAGCTACCAGCTGTGCTGCTTGGGTTCCAGGCTCCAACGGGTCGGAGGACATCATGTCCCAATGGTCAAACACACACTGGGGGAAAGCTTGCCCTGATGTTGCAGCCCTAAGTGTACCAGAGAATCCAAAAGATTCTATGACAGGCAGGTAGGCCTTGATATTGTAGAGTGGGGTACCTGGCCTCTGCATTTCCTCAAAGACATGGCCACGCTTCTGGTTGAGAACACCATAAATGCCACCAAGAGCCTGCTCTGGAGCCTGAATCTCGACCAGATACACAGGCTCCAGAAGCCTTGGCTTGGCAGTGAGTTGAGAAGCATAGAAGACCCTCCTGGCAGTTGGGATGATCTGACCACCTCCTCTGTGAATGGCGTCAGCATGTAGAACCACATCACACACCTCGAAGCAAATACCCCTCATGTTCTCTTCAGCTAAAGCTCCCTCCTTTGAAGCCCACTGGAACCCAGCAACAACAGAATCCTTAATTTCATTCAGATACTGTACTCCCTTGCACATATCAACAACCATGTTGGGTCCAATGGTCTCAGGACCAAAACACCAGATCTTCTTGGCAATATCCTTGTCCCATCCAAACTCTTCAGACAAAATCTTTCCTCGAACCTTGGGATCATCTCTTGGACCAATGCGGCCATCATCAATGGCCTCTGCAAGTCCTTCCTCCATAGGTCGTGCCTCCATGTATAAACGGTTATGCTTGTTTGGTGACTTGCTCATCACAGTCCTGCATGACTTCTCATGAACAGTCTCTCGGAAAGACACAACCGGGTCAGATTGTATGATCTCAGCCCCACCCATGAAATCCTCCTGCAGATCCTTCAAACAAATCTCAAGGTGGAGTTCCCCAGCACCAGCAATGATGTGCTCCCCAGATTCTTCAATTGTACACACCACCATAGGATCAGACTTGGCTAGACGCTTTAGGCCCTCAACAAGCTTAGGAAGGTCAGAGGCAACTTTACACTGCACAGCAACACGAACAACAGGTGAGACAGAGAACTTCATTGCACGAATGGGATGGGCATCAACTTCCTTCTCGTTGGTCAGTGTTGCATTCTTGGTGATAAATTGGTCAAGACCAACCATGGCAACTGTGTTACCACAGGGAACATCTTCAACTGACTCCTGCTTCTTTCCCATCCAAATAACAGTTCTCTGCACACTCTTAACATACAAGTCCTTCTTCTGACCAGGAACATAGTTTGGTCCCATGATTCTAACCTTCAAACCAGTTGAGACCCTTCCAGAGAAGACACGGCCAAAAGCAAAGAACCTACCTTTGTCGGATGCTGGAATCATTTTTGATACATAGAGCATCAGAGGCCCCTCAGGATCACAGTTCCTAATGGCAGTAGCATAGATATCATCAAGAGGACCTTCATACAAGTTCTCAACACGATATTTCTGAGCTTTGGCAGGTGAGGGGAGGTGAAAGATCATCATTTCCAAGAGGGCACTACTAGCAGGCAGCCAAGTTTGCATCACTCGCTTCATCAAAGCCTTTCCAATCAAATCCTTCTCTTCAGCCTTCATAGTGACACCAAGTTTCTGCAACATAGGCCATAGCTTGTCCTTCTGATCATTCATGCAAGTATTTATGATCTGCTTGATGGGTTCATAACAAAATTGAACAAAACCTCGCTTGCAGGTAGGAGAGCCAGTGTTCTTACTGGTCCACTTCTTGGTGGCAGGGTCAAAGAAGTTCTCACCCCAGAGTCTCTCCATCATCTTTGCCTCATCTACACCAAACTTGGAAGCATACATCTTGGCAAAGTTGGTAAGTGTAAAAGCCCAGCCGTGCAGACCAGCAGAAAATGCAACTGTTCCTTTCTCTGGGTAAACCTGAACATCACCAAGGAGAGGATCTTCATATGTAGCCATAATCACATTGGCATTCTCAATCACTCTTTGAAAAGTCTGATATGCCTCTTCCCCATCAACCTGGAGCTCAAGGAAGCACCTGTCCATCTTGTTTACAGTCAAGACAGGCCTAATCCTCTCACCAAGGGCCTGTCGGAGGACAGTTTCAGTCTGGACACATACACCCTCAACACAATCAACCACCACCAGCGCACCATCAGTAATACGGAGAGCAGCCGTGACCTCAGATGAGAAATCAACATGCCCAGGGGAATCAATGAGGTTTATAAGGTACTCATTCCCTTGTCTTTCACCCTTGTAGTTCTTCAGAGATTCATCAGTCATCTCATAATACAGAGAAATGCCAGTAGATTTAATAGTAATACCACGTTCGGCTTCATCTTGGCGTGTATCTGTCATCCGAACATCTCCCGCAACTTCCTGGGCAATGATACCAGCTGCTGCCACAAGAGAATCGGTAAGTGTAGACTTCCCTGCCAATTGCCAAGAGAGAGAGAGAAAGAAAACATCAGTAAAATCTCCAAGAGATATAACATAAAAGAACTATTTAAATCTTTTTCTTGGGGAGGAGGGGGGAGGAGAGGGTTGACTAAGGGTGACACAAGTCATGACAAAAAGCTTCTTGCAACCTTACATATATCTGAACCATTAGGGAAATAAATTTAAAATTTACACATATTAAGCTCTGTAGGCGCTATCATTTATGGTAAAATAAGTGAACATGAAAAGTTTTCTTCATCAGGTTGACCTCCATCAAAGATGAAAACAAGGGTTCTTCATCAAGTTGACTTCCATCAAAGATGGAAGATAACAGTAATGCATGCATCCCTTGTTTATGGGTTGCAGGGTCCAAAGATCATATTAGAAAGACAGTTTGCTTGCCCTGCCTAGTAATTCCTTAACAGATGCAAAGCCATTACAAGAAAGGACCCCTTCACTAAATCAAGAACAAGCTAGGATTCTTTAGATGGAAATACCAGTGTTTTAAAAGCACAAGGCACAAAAAAGGCACAGGGGTCAATATGCGCCTGAGGCGCAAGGCGCAAGGTGCATGCACCTTTTTAAGCAAGGCGCAAATATAAAAAAGGCTAAAAATCAAAAAAAAATTATTAAACATAATATTAACAAAAATATAAACTTTAATTTTAAAATAAATGTTTTAAAAAACCTATTATCTAATATTAAAATACATAAATATAACATGTAAAGCGTATTCAAATGAGAATTTAAAAATAAAAAATATATAAAACATTTTCAAGCATATAAAACCCACAATCTCTTTTTTTTCTCAAGTGCATTACTTCAAGTAGCAAATGTGATGAAAAACATATTACATTCCTGATTAAAAAAGCCACCTTTGTACCACACCCCTCGAGGCAAGCCCAAACAAGGTGCACCAGACGTGTGCTTTTTGAAAGGGCTGCACCTAGGATCTGGTCAAGGCGCCTACCCTGAAATGCACCTCACCTATGTGCCTAGGTGCGCCTGAGGCGTGCGCCTTTTAAATCACTGGGAAATGCATTCAAAGCTTAAAGCAAATTGCAATGAGACACCATACCGTGATCAACATGAGCAATCACAGACATATTACGGATATTGTGTTTCAGGTCCATAATCCTGCGAAGCCCCTCTACTGTAAACTTCACCTGCAGATGCCAAAAGAATACCATCAATTCAGATTAAGTAAATAGATTTCATAATCAATGAAGCAAATATAACTTGATAAAAGGCTATCACAGAGATATAAAGGTAATTGGTTTACCATCTTGATGGGTTTCTGTTGTCACCCTTTGCAGATCCTGCAACGTTTAAAGAGAAAAGACAATCTGTTATCCATCAAAACATCTTGGTTGAACTAATAAACAAAAAATCAATAAGAAAATAGGCCATTGAAGATATTTTATAAATGTGAGAAAGGAGTTCAGTAATCTTTGGGAAAATCCCATTTAACACAGTATACATAAATGCATGGACAACAAAATCTATTCCACCTGTATAACAGTCATTAATAGATATTATTAACCACTTTTTACTTATGGGAGATTAAGTACCAGGAGATAGTTAGCTCACAGCACAACAAACAAAAACATAGGAAGCTGTTTCATACTAGTGAGATCTTATTGTACCAATCTATACCTCTAAAACAACCAATCAAAAAGTCTATACTTCTGAAACATGAACACTCCCATTAATAAACCACGAGTAAGAAGTAACCAATAGAACTTTTAAACATCACCACAAGCAGATATAAGCTACAGGACAGCATCATATCATGGACTGGACTATCTAGATTCCTGATAGTTCTGCAGGATATATGATATATTAAACTACTGCAACTGTTAAGCCACAGGAAGTTATAATGACTGTAGACATTAATTAGTATATCACATATCATATATCTGCAATGCATGCATACCACCACCACCACCAATATGCAGTCCCCAGATGATGAAAAGATTGATAAGAAAGACATCTTGTTTTTTATGGGTAAAAATGATATATTTTATCATAATGCAATTAATCACATGATTTTCATTGGTAGTAAATATTTCATATTGAAGTACCAAGTAAAACATTAATTGGCGCCAAGGAAACAAGAAACCTTTTTAGAATTTTTAAATCCAATGCAGCTATCGCTCCTGAGATACTTGTTCTTTGACTATAATAGCTTTTCTTTCACATTTCATATAAAAGGCAGATACAGCTTAACAATTTATGGTAAAAAATTTTTAGATAACGTCACTGAATTATCACTACATAACGAGTACATAAAACTACATCAACTACCAAGATCCAAAGCCGTAAAAGGCTTCTGCGTCTTCAACAAAACCACCATTACCCAATCTTGGTTCCAGCTATTTAGGGTCTTACGAAAGTTGAACCGGATAAGAGTCCGACCTTCGGCCACGAAGTGGCCTCTCTCAGGCTTGAACCCGCGTTTCTCCCGCTTATCAGCTCAAGATTTTACCATTGCACCATGCAATAGCCACCATACCATATCAGATAGAAATATCATATGCAAAAACTTCATTAACATGAAAAAGAAAAAAAAAAGACGTAATCTTAATAGAGACATAGAAATTCCAACGAGAACTGAAGAAAACCATCACAAACGATAATAACAAAATAGATCCAGATCCCCCCATAAACATAAAAGAGATCCACCTTCAAATCCGTTCCCAAAAAAGAAAAAAGCTTTCCATCAGACATTCGAAATCCACCACCAATCAATCAAAACAGAAGCAGAGATAAGAAAACATGCTATTTCTACCGATACAAGAAAACCAAAAACGCATCAAAAGTATGGTAGCAAACTAACAAACAGATCAACAAATCAAATTTCTCCTCGAAATGAATTCAAACCCAGAAACGAAAAGTAAAGTGGATATATTCTGCAGGCACCTACCAGATCTACAACGTCATATTCAACTTAGAAGTTAGAACCCACATCAATAAGAACAAGATATAAGAAGCCAAACCCAAAGTAAATGAAGTGCAGTCTTTCGACCATCAAATAAAAAAAAAAAGCAATCGGCAGGCGCACAAAGGAGATTTAACAGAAGAATAAGAAATGAAAGAGCATCCGGAAACGGTGTCAGAGTTTTACCTGGAAGGAAGAGGAAGAGAGGGGCGAAGAGCAGACGAGGAACTCTCTCAAGTCGCCACGGCGAAAATCTGAGAATGGATGTGAGGCGAAACGAGAGTGAGAAACCCTACTACTAAGCTAAACTCCCACTCGTCCTCACCGTTGGATGCTGATGAAGATTTATTAACAGTTGATGGGAAAAAAAAAAAAAATATATATATATATATATATATATATATATATATTTTATGCGCACCTGTAAATATCCACGTGCAAGAGGGTTGCAACTCGGCGGGTTGGGTCGAGTTGAAACCTCGGGTTCGGGTCTATCCCAACCCGATGTCAAGCTCAAGTTTACCAATCCAGACTTAACCCAACATAATTAGAGTTGGGTTCAGATTCGGGTTGGGTCAGGGTGGGTTTATTTCAGTTGGGTGGGTTAATTGGGTTTGAAAGAACTTGTGAATACATTTTTATGTGATCATTTTTCATTTATGATAAGTCAAAATCTAACCAACAAATAAAGAGGAAGGAAGAGGATGAACCGATATGAACAATCAAACTGAATTGCTTCCAAAGACCTACAAAAAGGGCAGCGAGTCTTGAGGTTCAAGGTGAGTTCTTTGATGCTTCAGCCGATACCAAGGGGTGGTTGTCGAGCTGAGCTAAAGAGGGTTGGTTGACAAGGCGGATAAGAAAACAAGAAGAAAGGATCAAAGGAAGGTAGATGGTGCAATATTATCCGTACCTTTATCTTGGAAGGTTATACCTATATATAAGAGAGGTTTTTTGCTCACCAAGGAGTCCTAGTCCTACTAGGAGACAATTACAGGGCCCAAGGATCTCAATGGCTTATCCCTATCTAAGCATACCCCATGCATCTGTATGAGACTGACTAGTCGAATTGATGGTCAAGCTAGTATGGGTCATTAGGAGCACTCTAGTTCGTTTCAAGACATGTAACACAGGATTGGGCTACACATATGGGTTTCATTACTTACCCCCACTTCTGAGACCAAGATGATTATCTAGCTACTTTAGTGGTAGGTTAGCTCGACCGAAGAAAGTAATGTTACAAGATGATAAAAGGATCAGATCCGAGCCATACCACCATTCCGTGGATAGGTAACTGTTTCCATCTACCGCGTGTGGGTTGTACATGCCCTCTCAAGGATCATGTTGCTTCCACTCATATGGTTGGCCCAAGTGTTTGTTATTAATGTGTCACTTACACTTTTGAGGTGTCTAGCAAAGCAACTCCTAGATCAAGGAACACATAGCATCTGTTAGATCAAAGTAAAATTTGGATTGTTGGTGGCAAGCCACTATAAACAGTCAAGGATCCTTTATAAGGAGCAATCTTGAGCAATTGGACTTTGCCATTTGCTTCTAGAGATTGGGGAGAGTATAGCAGAGCTAGGTTGTATGTGAGTTCAGCTTAGTGTATTCCTCAGTTCAATAAGCTCTTTCTACACTTCTAGGTCAATTAGAACACTCTACCTTGGCATTGAAGTTGCAGCCGATAAGTAACCACTCTAGGTCAATTGACGAGACTTATGGCCAAGGTTAGGGAGACCAAGATGTGTGGCCTCAGGCCAAGGATGAATCTATTGAAGTTGAGGTTGAAGAGACCAAGGTGGGGATGATGATCTTGAGGCTGGTGTGGGGGCTAAGGGCAGGGATACCAAGGTCGGTGGCTCCCAAGCTAGGGGTGAGCATGTTCTAGAGACCAAGATTGAGGAGCCTGAGGCCCGAGATCATATCAAGTTGCAAGTATAGAGGCCAATGGGAATACCAAGGTGGAAATAGTTGACATAGACAAGGACAAGGATGTTCCTAAGATTGGAACCTCAGGACCAGTCATTCACATGGCCGAAGAGCTACCAGATGAGGGTGATTAACTCATGAGGAGTGCCTTGAGGTAGGAAAACATGGTGAGGATCTGCACGACAATATGATATACCCAAGGAGTATGAGATGAGGATGTTGAATGAAGAAGAATGGATTGGTTATGTGTATATGAGGACAACCTCACGATCAAGCTATGGTTTTCTATGGACAAGCAAGTGGCTCAGATCCTAATGTGTGTGTCGACACAAATTTCGTATATTTCAATTAACACAAAATATGGAGATAAATTACAAAAATAAATTTGTAATAAAGAAAACAAACAAGGGAAATGAATCCTCTTTGATTTATGCTCGATGACGTGAGAAACCTTTGATTAACGGTCGAATTTGGTGAAGATGAGGGTTGTTGGCGTATTTCTCATACTTCTTGAAGTGTTAATGTAGATTTCCTTGATTTTGGTACTTTAGGAAATTTGATATTGATTTCTTCACTCTGGGCTTCACACTTGATCAGCTGTGAAGGATGCTTCTCTAAGAAGGGCCCTTTTGTGGTGGCTTAATCTTCTTTGGAGAGCTTGAATACAAGTGTGTTATTGAGAATGAAGAAGCTTTTTCTCTTCTTTCTTCTCTCTTGATCTTACAGTTGTTGGAGTTTGTAGGAACTTGTGGTTGTTTGCAATCCTCAAGTGTTGGTGTGTGAGAGCTTCTTACAATATGATTCTCCCAAAAAAGGAAAAAACCCCCTTTCTTCCTAGGAAAGGCTATTTATAGCCAAGGATCAGGACTGCCACTTCAGCCCACTTTAATAACCAATCCTATGTGAGTGGGATGGTGGGTTAGAGCTAACTCTCATACATGCACCATTATATAGGAGCTAGTGGTCTTGCCAATGAGACCACCCTATTACAATAGGAAGTTGGCTAGATTGGACATGATACACTTGGATCCATAGGCCATCAAGACATATTTATGTAGTCTTGGACCTTGGACCCATGGAGGCCCATATTAATTCAGAGGTTGTCATGTAAATTAAACCTATTTATTTGGCTTAAAAATTCACATGTCTACAAATGCCCCCTCGAGGATGAGGTGATGGAGCTCCATACGAAGCCGATATCCTTGACAATGTTGATTTCCATATTGGATGATTGTTCAACTTGGCCATTTAGGGTGATTCTCATATAACCCACAAGCATTGGCTGAACCTCTTGCAACCTTGTATTGGGACTTGCAACCTTGCATTCGTATGATGCCGATGTACTCGACGATTCCGATGTAGAATAGTAACTGACCATTTGACTACTTGCAAAGGCCTCTAGACGATTGTGTAGTGATGATTTCTTGCAAAGTTTCTTTCCTTCTGCTTGGCAAGGTAAGACTAAACATTGAACATTGTTGCCTTGTATTCATTGACAGAGAGGTGGGACACTTTGAATTAAATTTCAGATCTCACAATGCGATCTGATGGTGATTACTTTTTGGTCAAGGAGATTGCAAGACCGTTAGCAACATTGTATATATCCTATTGCGATTGTCCAAGCATTTGGATTCGAAGCTACTTCAGAAAAAGTCGTCAAAGTGAGCAAGAAGGTTGAGTTCTTAACAAATTAGAACTCTTGTTGGTAGCAGGTCGATAGACTTATTCTCTGTTTCTATAGGACCTTAAAGATAGAATAACCAACATGGATCGCTAACTGGACCACATCTTGGCTCAAGTCCAATAACCTTCTAATTTGGTTATTGAGTTGTGAGATAGGAGAGCTTATAGGAGTAGCCACTAGTCCCTAGGTTCTATTCCCATATCTCCTCATCGATTGGAGTTAGAAGAGTTAAAAGTCGCTTCAACATCTTTAGGAGAGTTAGTAGAGTGTGACTAGCATCCCTACCAGTGTTATTCAATAGCAACAATTGTAGAAAAATGCCACCTACATCACTGGGATGGCGGTATCAAGTATGAGATAGCTGAGTTTGTAGGAACAATTTACCTAGAAGATTTTGTGGATTGAATGAGCAATGTAGAGAAGCTTTTTTATGAGAAGCTGGTTCCCAAGGAGAAGAAGATTCCCTTGGTAGCCCACAAGTTAAGAGGCCATGCTCTAGCTTGGTGGGATAGCCTCTGCCAGACTCGCCACTAGGAAGGCAAACACAGAATCAGGATGTAGGAGGCCTCTTCATCCAACTATAATACTTGCACTAAAGTAGCAAAATGGTGGATGAGTACACCTTCAAATTATAGACACTATTAGTGTGAATGAATCTCTACGAATCTAAGGAGATCATTGTCACTAGGTACATCAAGGGACTTAAACCAACCTTGTGACAACACCGCTTGGTTGCTTTGCACATCTATTCCATCTCTGATACTCAACAAGTTGCACAAAGAGTGAAGAAGCTACAACCACAACTAAGGTTCAAAGTTTCGATACAGGTTGATACGTCAGTTGGGCCATAACGGCATGTATCTTTGCTCACTTTTATTTTTTTTAGTTTTTTTCTCAAATTGGTTCAGAGGGGTCATTTAAGGCCCATCTACCCCCTAAACCAAGTTACACCTCGAAACACCCCCTGTAGTGGCATTTTGGGAGATCATTGATACGATACATATTAGTCGATATGGCCTGATACATATCAAAATTTTGAACCTTGGTTGCAGCCCCAATTGTAGTGCCCTATCAATCCCATAATCACCCCAAGCACAATATTCACATCATAGAACACCAAATCAGCAATGAACCCTTTAACTCCCAATACATCATCTTTATCCAAGCCACCAATGCGTGTAAATGCCCAAAGGAACATCCGTTGTTTCGAGTGGAATGAAGTAGGGTACACTCCCAACAATTATAAGCTCAAACACACAATGATTGATGAAGTAGAATCCCAATAGGATGGCTCACAATCTAACAAAGAAGAGCATGCTAAATTTATGGATGGTGACCTTGAAGGTGAGGCCCTTGTTGTTTGTATAAGTTAGTTGGATTTAAACCAACATCTTTTGCTCCAGCTATCTCTTTAGTGGGAAGGTTTGCATCATCGTGATTGATGGAGGTAGTTATGAGAATGTTGTCTTGAAGGAAGTTGTCTAAAATCTATGTTTTCCATCTTTAGCGCACCCACAACCCTATTCTTTGCATTGGTTGAAGAAGTGTGCTAAAGTGAATGTGTTACAGGGTTGCTTAATTCAGTTTACCATGGGTAAATCTTATATTGACCAAGTATATATGGTGTGATGTGATATAGATGGACACATGTCACTTGCTGGGAGGAAGGCCCTAACAATATGATCGAGGTGTTGTGCATAGGGG